ATTTACCAATTCGGAACAATAAAATTACATCAAAAAGCTCTTTCTGGACTGAAGGCCCATTCAGTAATAAATCGTTTAATGAAACCTTTTTATCCGTCTTCATTGAGGCATCAAAAACGACTCTTGTGCGAGTAGTTTTACTCGATTCATTAATGACCGCATGATGCGGTAAAAAATATACAGCATCTTTGTCAAAATCATAGAAATCAAAATTAATAAAATCGCCATGACCTAGCTCTACATATTCATGAATAAATTTATTATATTCTGACAATAGATTAATATTATTTTGTAAACGCCTTTCCAAACTTAAAAATCGATACCAAGCTAAAACAAAAGAATTGCCCAAATAATTATGAATTTCATTATCCTCGACTTTAAGAGGTAAATTCACCTGGAATCTATTATCAATCAATTCTACAGAATTCTGAAAGATAGTTTCAGCTAACTCTTGTTCACTTTGATTCTCAGAAAAGGTTTGTGGTATACTCTCAGCTTCCCAAAATAATTTGATATTATCATTGATTTCAGGATCGCATTTAATACATAATAGTGATGTTACCTGTTTTGAAGCTTGCTGATATTCAAGCATTGAACCACCAATAATATATCCAAAACGTGTATTGATAATGCAGGGCGTATTGTCTCTCTTTGTATTGTACTCAATATAGATACATGGATTTAATATATAAAAGGCCAAAGTTAATTAACAATACAATTTTTTATTCTCCATTTTTATGACAATTTTATTTATTATTTATTTGAAATTAAAAAAAATATAATAAAAAGTTTTTATGCCAGTATTAATTTTTGTTGGAGTTTCCAACATGCTCGCCACACCAGCGGTTTATTAGTGGATAAATTACCAGAACAGTAACATGTGCTGCACAATATATAACATATAACAGAAAATGTCTTTACTTCATACTAATACAACTTGCATAAACATAACAGAACCATAAAAATATTACAGTTGATGGTTATATTAGTAAATCCAATATTTTGGGTGATGCCCAATTACATTACAATAAGTATAACAATAACAAATTGTATAAATAACTAAACAATTACAAACAACATATTCTTACTTCTCTTTATCGTTATACATTAAAAGAAGAAGAAAAAGAAAGCAGTTTAAAATGAGCAAATAATAATTAAATCTAGGCATCATTTATAGGAAGAATACATATACCAGATAAGGAACGTTTATAAGTTTTACCATTAGGTGTTACAACTTCGAAAGCTCTAACCTTCCCATCTCTACCTGGAAAAACCTTACTTATTCTAGCCATAGGCCAGTGCAAAGGAGGATTGTTTGGGTCCTTGAGTATCACCAACATTCCTACTGTTACATTAGGATAACTCTTTTGCCATTTGGATCTAAACTGCAAAGCATTTAAATAGTACTTATGCCATATTTTCCAAAAACATTGTTTTAAATGTTCACATTGTTTCCAAAAACTTAGTCTATTAATAGGTAAATCTGATACATCATTTTCAGGATAAGCTACAATAGCATTACCAGTCAAGAAATGACCGGGAGTTAGATAACTAAAATCCGTTATGTCAGAACTCATAGGTAAAATAGGCCTTGAATTTAAGACACCCTCTATCTGAACTAAAATTGTGTACAATTGCTCATATGTTAACAAAAGCTTTTGTAAAATCCTTTTTAAATGAAATTTGGTACTCTTGACAGCAGCTTCTGCCAGGCCAGCAAAAGTAGGTGAATAACTGGGTATGAAGTGAAATTTCACCCCTTGCTGCGCTGCATACGCTTGTATTCGCGTTTGATGACCCTTGGAAGCTTGGAGCCGGTAAAGTTCAACAAATTGGTTCGCCGCACCCTTGAAAGCACCTCCATTATCAGCGAAAATTTCACTGGGAAGGCCACGTCTCGAAATGAACCTTTTAAAACAGGCGAGAAAGGTTTCGGTGCTCAAATCTGAAGCTAGTTCAAGATGAACCGCTTTCGTTACGAAACAAACAAATACACATATATAACCTTTAGTTTCGATTGCACGTCTGACTCTAGAATTCTTAACTCGAAGTGGACCGGCAAAATCTACGCCAACGGTCTGGAAAGGCCTACAGGCAGTAACACGTTGATATGGTAGCGAACCCATCAGTTGCTTTGCCGCCTCTGCCTTCAATTTAAAGCAAACAAGACATCTATAAGTTATTTTCTTAACCTGTCGCATGCCATTAATCAGCCAGTACCTTTGATTAAGACTCGAAAGGAGCGACTTCGGACCTGCATGAAATAATCTAATATGTTCATTCTGAATTATAAGTTCGGTTATTCTTGATTGCTTCGGTAAAACAATAGGATGTTTTTGATTATAAGATATTTCAGCATTATGAAGCCTTCCACCTACCCTTATTAGACCGTGCTTATCCAGGAAAATATGAAGAGGTTTTAAAATACCCTCTACATCTTTGCTTTCAGTCATTTTATTTCCTTGCTAAAATGGATACTTTGTTCGTGTTTAATAATGTTTTGCGATGACTGTTGCAATTCCTTTGTAGTTAAATAATTACATTTAGTCTGATCATTTTTATTTTTAAGATTATGACAAAATCTTAATATGTAGGCTAACACCCTGATCATTTTATTTATATCCGAGTACTTATCTATAAGCTGATAGATATCACTCTTTATTTGTGTTGAGAGGGATACTACCTTAGAGGAATCTACAGCCGCACCAGAATTCTTCAATTCAGGTAAGTCGATAGGTAAGGAAGCCTTGTTTGTAAAATTGTACCTATTGTCTTTTAGAAAGTCTGGTCCGTCCCACCATAGAGAGCAAGATGGTAATTCTTTTGGATACCTCTACTTATTAAATCGGCTGGATTTTCCTTTGTGTTAACATAATTCCATTGAAATTGTACAGTTTTTTCTGTAATCACTTTTACTCGGTTAGCCACATATGCTTGTAAATTAAAAATATCAGTATTCAACCAACCTAAAACAATCTTAGAATCGGTAAAGAGATAAACACTATCAATTGAAAGTTTGAGCTGTAACGTTTTATATGTCCTCCGTACTAGACTTGATAGCAATAAGGCCGCATTCAACTCTAACCGTGGTATCGTTATTGGTTTCGAAAACGAATTAATTCTGGACTTCGCACATAAAAGAAACATGCGCACATTACAATCAGAGTCTACCGTTCTAAGATATACACAGCATCCGTAGCCTATTTTACTTGAGGCATCGGCAAAACCGATCAATTGAACAGCCTTAGAACCTAATGGAATTGGTATATTTCTATTAATATGAATCGGTTCCATTGCCTTGAGACCGTCAATAAAAAACAACCATTCTTCTTTAACATGATCGGAGGGAGAAGCATCCCAACTAATACCTTCAGCCCACAGTTTCTGCATAATAATCTTAGCCTTTACTATAATTGGACACACAAATCCAAGTGGATCATAAAACTTAGCAATACAGCTTAAAATTGACTTTTTTGTTACCGATTTTATATCAATAGTTTCTGGGCATGTGATATTAAACCAATCATTCTTTACATCTAGATTTAAACCTAATACTTTCATGGTATAATTATCCTTTTGCAACTCTAGCTCGTCAAAATGTTGTTTACTAATTGGAACATCAGACAATATTTCTGGATCATTAGTTGACCATTTATGTGTTTCAAAACTTCCTTTTTGTAGCAAAGACTGTAATTGTTGCTTAGCTTCTTTTATTTCACTAAGATCTGATGACGAATAGAGGATATCATCGACGTAAGTACAGTTTCGCAATATAAATGAAGCTATAGGAAATTCTTGACCAAATAGTTCAGTAAGTTCGAGTAAACAACGAGTTGATAAATAACTTGAACTTTTCATACCGTACGTAACAGTATTTAAACGTATACATTTTATTGCCTCATCAGGATTATTTCGCCAAAGAATATTTTGAAGAGCCCTGTGTTTGGGATTCACCAGAATATTCCTAAACATACGCCTTATATCCGTGGAAAACGTATATTTACCAATTCGGAACAATAAAATTACATCAAAAAGCTCTTTCTGGACTGAAGGCCCATTCAGTAATAAATCGTTTAATGAAACCTTTTTATCCGTCTTCATTGAGGCATCAAAAACGACTCTTGTGCGAGTAGTTTTACTCGATTCATTAATGACCGCATGATGCGGTAAAAAATATACAGCATCTTTGTCAAAATCATAGAAATCAAAATTAATAAAATCGCCATGACCTAGCTCTACATATTCATGAATAAATTTATTATATTCTGACAATAGATTAATATTATTTTGTAAACGCCTTTCCAAACTTAAAAATCGATACCAAGCTAAAACAAAAGAATTGCCCAAATAATTATGAATTTCATTATCCTCGACTTTAAGAGGTAAATTCACCTGGAATCTATTATCAATCAATTCTACAGAATTCTGAAAGATAGTTTCAGCTAACTCTTGTTCACTTTGATTCTCAGAAAAGGTTTGTGGTATACTCTCAGCTTCCCAAAATAATTTGATATTATCATTGATTTCAGGATCGCATTTAATACATAATAGTGATGTTACCTGTTTTGAAGCTTGCTGATATTCAAGCATTGAACCACCAATAATATATCCAAAACGTGTATTGATAATGCAGGGCGTAATGTCATCTTGACTAGGTAGCGGCCGGTGCAGATTTCGAGACCACGGTCGCTCAGGCTCATTGGGCATTATCACATGGAAAAATATGTCAGCATCCATTAAGAGATTTATTTCAGATGGAACATCAAATTGATCATCTGCCAACACTATATTGGGAGGTAATTTCAATTGCCGAATATCAAGTTTTGTTTGTGGATGCTTGCAGGTAATTTTTTCGACTACATAAAAATTGACAGTCATATTAAAAGAAGAATTCACAGAGTGTATGTTTAATGGAATACAATATCTTGTATTATTGTGAGCATTGCCTACACCTATTATATTTGTATTGTGGGGTGTTGGAGTTAAACCCAATTGCTGGATTAACTTGCTCGTAGCGAGGAGGCTTGTGAACCTGTATCTAAAATCGCCTTCACTATTATCGTCTTTTTATCCTTTGTGAATAATTTCACTTGTACTGTGGGAAGCAAAACCTTAGAATCGTGGCCCTTGGATAATAAGGAAACAGGACCTTCGTCACATTCGTCATGATGAACTAGTGAATTGTGTGCCTTTTTGCACAGATCGCATTTGAAATGAAATTTGCATTTTTCATTGTGCTTATTCAAACAAATCAGACATAACTTATTATCTTTACAGAATTTATAGCGTTCCATAGAAGTTATTAATTTGAATGTATTACAGGAAAATAATTTATGATTGTTGGACTTACAGTAATGACACGTCATCGCTTTCTCACCAGCAGCCGCTACGTTGACTGATAAACCCTTGGCCTTGGTAGATGGCATCGCAGTTGACGGCGCAGCGTTCTCCAATGCAAGTGCCCTCTTCTCAAGATACTCGATGAAGTGCTTGACGCTGTGTTCCTCGGCAATATCTCTTTCCATTTGATACGACCGAGCCGTGTATGTATCTAACTTACGATTAAGAATACAAACAATTATTGGATCCCAAGTTTCAACCTTCACATCTAAGTTTTGCAGAGCAGCCAAAGTCTGCTTAAGAGTCGCTACAAAATCTCGAATGTTTTCAGGGGTTGATTTGACAAGCGCAGGTAAGTCTAGTAATTGACCAATATGTTCATTTACAATACGATACCTATTGTTATATCTCTCGTCTAATAATTGTCTAGCTTGATCATAGCTACTGGCTGTTAATGGTAAGTTCTTAATAAGATCATACGGTTCGTTTTTTAAATAAGACCTAAGATAATACAACTTCTGAACATTATCTAATGTTAAGTCATTATGAATCAATGAAGTAAACAATGATTGAAACGCTACATATTCAACATAATTACCAGAAAATATGGACATTTGAATCGCGGGCAACTTAGTTTTCGATCGTGCAATAGTATTAACATGACTTTTAGAGTCCTCTACACAAGAAGTCTTACGGCTAATCACTTCATTAAGAACGGTAAGAGTATATAGATATTTATCTTCAACAGCTGCTACGTCCTCGTCATCATCTGGTCGCATTGAAAGAATCCGCATATTAAATCCTTCATATTCACGGAAGGCTGTGAGCAGTCTTTCTTTACGCGTTGTAAGGGCCTGTAAGGTACTTTCTTCTAATTCAGACTCGTTGCTAACAAAACTGTGAAGACGAGTAATCGCCCCTTTAACATAGCCTCGCGAGGCGCGTAGTGAAGTTTCACTATCAGTGGCCATTGCACGACGATTGCCACGAAATTAAAATATGTAAATGTAATGGAAAATGTTCAAATGTATTTATTGAATATAATAATCGTAGTTCCCACCTCGTGTCATGAATGAATTTGCCGTTGTTCGATGTATATTTTTCTTGCAGGCCAACTGAGATAATCGTTTGTCGTCGTCTATATAAATCTCTTAATTGACAACTAAAGAAATTGTAGTTACCACTCGGAGAAATATATAATATTTACTTGTAGACTTCAACAAAATTGCAATCGCCTGTCGAACGCACGGAGGAGAATAGATTTCATATATGTTGTATTCTTGAAACAATGGCGCTTCTTGTATCCACGTATATTGAACTGAGATTTTTTGTAATTCGCTGTTTCTTGCCTTACGATGCTCGAAATGGACCAAATTTGTATTGTACTCAATATAGATACATGGATTTAATATATAAAAGGCCAAAGTTAATTAACAATACAATTTTTTATTCTCCATTTTTATGACAATTTTATTTATTATTTATTTGAAATTAAAAAAATATAATAAAAAGTTTTTATGCCAGTATTAATTTTTGTTGGAGTTTCCAACAAACTGTCCTGTTGTATTAAATAAACACCCCTATCGGAAACAACATAAGGGTTACAATCCAATAGTTTATCACCAGATTAGTCGACTAGAAAGTAGGTGTTGCTACTGCCACAGATCTAAATAATAGAAATCGGTCACGAATTAAGATACAAGCATTTTTAACAATTATTTGTTGTTAGGCTTTAGTTAAATTACCGAAAAAGTAAAGCGAAAACAGTAATCTTAATATATTATTATTGTAAATGTAAATGTGAGTTTGTTTGTTACCTTGTATTAAAATATTATACCATACCATACCATACCATACCATATCAGGCATTAATTGTTTACTAATGTACATAGGTCTTCCCCTATTAGGGGGGGGGGGGATTGTCAGTAGTTGCCACGCTCGGCAGGCAATTCGGCTTTGGTGATATAATATTTGGTGAAAGAAATGCTGTTACCCATTTCTCGACTCAACTCGGCAAAACTCCCCTTATGGATTTGCCAGTAATTGTCACGCTTGGCAGGCAAAATAGCAACCGAAGTTAGGCTTTTGGAGATGTTTTAAGAAGAATGCTGTTGCCCATCATTTTACTATTAAGTTCCCTCTTACGACACTAACGGAAAAGGATAGAGTAGCCCATTCTATGCCGGGATCACACAGCGAAATATTAACTTATTGTCATGAAATTTGATTTCAGTTACTAGATATAATGGAGAAGGAAAAAGAAGAAACTAATATTTTTGATTCCAATTAATCAGTCACGTATACGAGGATAAAAACTATTATTCATCTATCGAGCTATGACCTATCTATAGTGAGCCCAAATCATCGACCTATCGATTGAGATGTTTAGAAACAGAAATAGATGTGACAGATAGATATATTTATAATTTATTTACATTACTTACAGCACACAAATAACAACAGATATAGATACATATGCAGAATAAAAAACAATACATATATAAAAAAAGAAGAAACAAAATGAAAATACATAAAAGAATTAACATAATTTTTCATTTCATGCATGTGTTTCAGTATCACAAAATGGCCATAACTATACAGATATGTAATCAAGCAAATGATTGTCCACAGAGCAATCATTTAGTCAGTCAGTGTTTTTTTTTGTTTATTTTTTTATAAAACTTAGAATAGCAAACAAGCTGACGGCCTACTTGATGGAAAGTGGTAACCGTCGCCTATAGACATGAGCAGTACCATGAACATAACAGAGTGTACTGTTTCGCCCATGATACCCCCCATGCGTTGTCATTCCTGAGGACTCAGGTGTTATTCCTCTGTACCCAATAAATTCATGCCATATCCCTTCAAACCGAAACACAGTCATGCAAACACAACTGCTTTACGGTTGAAACGCAAATAGGACAGAGGTACCCAAGCAATCGATTTTAGTACAAAGTCTTGTGTCTCTTAATACACAACTCAAGTTTCCTTATTACCCTCTATTATAAGAAACTAAAGAACCTCCAGTAAATAACCTATAACCTTCGGCTTCGAGCCAATTAAGAAAAGTTTCTTCCCTAAATTATCCCGACGAAAGTCGAACGCAACTGATTTACCAAAAGTAACGCATCTAACAAGTGGGAGGGGATTGTTAGTAATGGGAACTAGCAAGTCCCAACCACCAGTATACACGCTACTAGACTTTACCCGCGACTTTGTCTGCAAATTCTAAGAAAAAATATATACCAGTTTTTGATCTCAGGAATTTAACTGAAAAAACTACATTCATTGTAATCTTTTGGAGGAAACAATAAAGAGAATCTATCTATCTATCTATCATTTTGTTGCAGACTAATGCACAACAACAACAACGACTTGCTTGCTTCGACAACACACGAGCACTACCTCGCGTCTTGACATACAGACTGACAGATAAAAATTCCAAAATATAATAATTCTAATGCTTTTATGAGTATACATTATCTAGGTACAATTTATTATGTATATGTATGAAAAAATATGACCATTTAAAAATGCTTAAATCAAAATCATATCAGCCATTAACTGTCCACTGCTGAACATATGCCTCTCTCTTGGGGGGTTTTACCAGTAGTTGCCACGCTTGGCAGGCGGATTGGCGATTAGGCTTTGAAGATGAGTATGGTATTGAATATGGTAGGTCACGGTGTTGGCAAGAAAACGAAGGCTCTTAAATTCGATTTTATTTTCGATTTTATTTTCGTTAATTACAGATAATAAATAGACGTATGGTGTTGATCGCTTCTAGGTGCAGACTGGGCGTGGCGTCCGTTGCGCCGATTATAAGTTTAAAAACGACCGCACGCAGAGACAAACTATTTTATTAATAATTGCGTTTTGAGGCACAGAACGCGTCGCTTACAAGATGTTTTAAGAGGGACGCTGCTTAGTCGTCTCTTGCAAGCCCTTTATAGATACTCTTTATTCTTTCCTTCAAAAGATGTTTGTATCAAGTAATATAGTAATATAGTTGATGATTAAATATTAATGTTGATGTACCTTTTAAAATAAATACTCGTAAATAAAGGATGCAATACTCTGTATTGCAACTCTTTGCTAGCCAGAATAACCTCCAAGTGGTCTCCTTTGGAGTTCATCAAATTCGTAGTCGAATCATCACGACAGACCAACTTCAATCATGCCTTCATCCTCGCCTATCCTTTAATGGTACCCCGCGAGCGTAAACCAACATAACAGATGAGTTTAATATTCCATTTTTAAATATTGTCAACCGAATTCAAAGAAGGTGGTTCTTATTTTTGTTGTTTGTTACCTCAAAACTCCGTTAGTTCTAAAACGGTTTGGAATTTTTTTTATTCAAAAGTACATCTTAACAGATTAATCCATTTTTAATTTATTCAAAATTGGTTCAGTGGTTTAGCTTTCAGATCAAAATTGGGACAAAATTTGGTTTTGTTATAATCAAAGTCGGTATTCGTTGTTTTTTTTTTTTGTTTTAAATTTTGGATGCCTAATTATCGCGAAATATGAGAACTTATACCTATTGCTAACATCTATACATTTCGTATATTTCTTGTAAATACATATTCATTCATTCTCTTATTACTGTCTACTATTGTTTTTTGTTTGTCTAACCTTTAGCGTATCTTCCAGCGAGCACTAGTTCCACAGCCATCACGCCCCACATATCCACCGCTGACAAGGGTGCGCTATTTATCATAATATCACGGGTGCCGTCAAGGTGCCGGCTAACTCTTATTAGTTTTTGGACCCTGTGTTTTATGCATGAACGACCGGCGTAATAACTATTCCTCGTGTATCGATGAAGATTAACACTTTTGCATGAATTCGGGGGAGTTGGGAGTTTTTTGTGTTACATGTAAAGAACATTGAGAAAGGTTGTTGGGCTCCGAGAAGATTGAGGTTGAATAGGTTTTTTTTTATTATTATTTTTTACAGTTAATTTATAGATTTTGTAACGACTGATGTTGCTTAGTTTATATGTATACGTACATTATAATAATATCAGGCGGTAACTTTTTTGATGCATAATAATGGAATGGTATATTATATATATGAAATGGATGCCTGCGCTATCGGTATACACTAGCGGGAAACCGATGAGAGATGATTGGTGAGGATGAAAAGGCAGGTCAGTTAGCCCATCGTGACGAATTCAATGATAAATTAGTAACGATGGATTCCAGGGGGAACTGCGTGGAGGTCGACCTGATAAGGTATATTGATAGCGATGGGGACTAACCTCCCCATTACTAACAATCCCTTCCCCCCCGGCCGGAAACTGTCCACTGCTGAACATAAGCCTATATACATAGAGTCGATTATATAGATAGAGTGTCTCCATACAAATGCTTAAAAAAAATTGGGTCAACTTTTTCATACAATTTTGCATGATAAATAGTTATGAGTGTTTCCATTATAATTTCTATATTTATATTGTATTAAAATTTTTTTTCATCTTTTTAATGACAAAAAATTATTTTAGTTATTAAATAATTAAATATAGATATGTCAAGATACATTATGTATTTAAGTATAAAAAAAAACGAGTATATAGTTAAAAGCTAGTATTTAATATATACATATATGAACAAACAATCAAATTCACTTTCATATTTTTAGTATTCGAATACAGGTGGCCTGTTTAGAAACCTCATCTGTAGGCGTATTCATAATATTTTAATATTTTAATTTAATAAAGGAGGGATTATAAATATTAAATACACAGATAAAGATATCATTTCAATTTTTGTAAATACGAATAAAGATGGAGTTTCCAAAGAAGTCGTGTGTATAAGATATTAAAAAAAAAATAAAAAAAAATACAGCGGGACAAAATAAAAGTATGTTGAATAATATTTTATAGTCGAAAAAAATCTACATCATTCATATCCGTATACTAAATAGGGTAGGCAGAGAGATTCTAGAGAGCAGCGTGTGCCAAATTATCTTTAGCCAATTATTATTTTATATTTATTCTTCCCACGATTCAGTCCAATTTCGAAGACTCACCTGAACTACCTGGAACTCATTAAGAAGACTTGTACACTACGTAACAAGGGTAATATGTGCCGATGAGGTTTTGTTGATGAAGGACCAGAAAGCCTATGTGAAAGTTCGCAAACGACGCCCCTAATAGACGCCTCACCTTACTCCATGTACACAATAGATGCATGAGCGATCTGTTTACTGCTATTGAAAATGCCGTACTTATTCGTGATCAAATATTTTGCATAGATTCGATAGGCTTTAATATATACATGGGTACTATACCACTACTGTTTTTAATAAAAGATTGTTTTTATGCAACTTAAAATGGCAAACAAGCTGACGGCCTACTTGATGGAAAGTGGTAACCGTTGCCTATAGACATGAGTAGTACCATGGAAATA